AAATAACACCATGAAACATTTTAGGTAAGTTTCCAACAACAGAGACAGTTGTTCAGCTTTATGAGCCTGAACGTCACCAAGCGCTCCGTCCCAGCTGTGTGCGTCACTCTTTAGTGTCCCCTGATCACCCAGCTGTGTGCGTCACTCTTTATTGTCCCCTGGTCTCCCAGCTGTGTGCGTCACTCTTTAGTGTCCCCTGGTCTCCCAGCTGTGTGCGTCACTCTTTAGTGTCCCCTGGTCTCCCAGCTGTGTGCGTCACTCTTTAGTGTCCCCTGGTCTCCAGCTGTGTGCGTCACTCTTTAGTGTCCCCTGGTCTCCAGCTGTGTGCGTCACTCTTTAGTGTCTCCTGTACTCCGTTGTGTTTTGAGCTTCTTGCAGCGTTTGGTTTCTGCAGCTTTTAGTAAACGCTGCCATGTCTCCTCAAGTTTCTTAATGTTCTCTAAATGCTGCATGTGATGTCAAGTTAATGAAGATGTTTCTTCATGAGCACAGGAACATCTTTTTATATCTGCATCGTTTCTGAAGCGAGTTTCTCCTGATGGAAGAGTCTTAGCCGTTGTAACACGTTAACCTGTCAGCAAATAATCGTTCTTTTGAATCTACAAATCACTTCGGAGACAATCGATCCTTAGTAACGACGAGTGAGTGTTGCCAAGACCATCCATCTTATGGTTTCTTATGTTCATTGAAACAAGGATGTTTTGCTGGACTTGAGACCACCTTTCCCCCCGGAGCGTCTGTACTGTATGTTTTCCTGTCAGGAAATCCAGCCCAGGGGGATTTGTCGCAGGCCAAACAAAGAACAATGTGACAGATACATGAACAATGGAGCATCCAATGAACCAAACCCAAAATACCTCAAACTGGACTGCACAGAAATCTATCAATAATCCAGACAAATGCTGAGACAGAAGGTGTTTTTATGTGAAGGAAACAAACCAAATTAAAGTTTGGTCCCATCAGACCAGTTACCTGCTGGGGGGATTCTGTGTCTTGCATTAATGAACATCGTACCTGTGTTAGAGTATTTTAAGATTCCTTAATATCAGCTTTAAAAAGAGGTCAGGAAAGCTAAAAGGGTGCAGGAGTCCGTGTGTTTTAGGTGTCCTGTTTACTTCTGCCAAACATTACTCGGCTCACCTAGAAAGGAATCTCCCAAAACAATGACACCCTAAGCCACAGCGCTAAACGTCAGTAGGCCTACCTGGTTACTGGTTTGCCCTGCCCTCGTGGCCTGGATGTGTTTCTCGGTTTGTCGTGGTTACAGGTGAACAGGTGGACTCCTGGTGGTTTATAAGGTAACAGGTTTGTTGTCTTTACTGCACATCACAGCCCAGACTTTGTTTTGTCAAAACCAGGGTGTATAGTTTCTGATCTAAACTTGGCTTTAATCCAATGGCTGTCATGAAAAAAAAACAAGAGATCAGCTGTGCCAATCGATCAAGAAAGTCTGGAAATGTGTTTAATTATGGGTGTAGCCGGTAGAGGGTGAGTCCCAGAGAGTGTTTGTGAGACATGCCAACGTTTCTTTTGAATCGCGCTAAGGGGTGCACTACGTGTGAGACTCTCCTCATCCTGGGCACCTGGTCACCCTAGTTGAGTGTAGATAAATATAACTATTGTGGCTGAATGCCAGCCCTTCATTACCCATAAGTCTTCATGTTTCTGCAGGTGGAAGACAGTGAGGAATGAGTTCCCAGAGAACATTTCTTTGATTGGGAGTCGCGTCTGAAACAAGGCACAGGTAACGTAGGTCTTTGGCTCTGAATGCTGCTTACCTGTGGCTTTGTTAGGAACATGAATACACAACAATGTTTGAAAAAGACCTAGAACTAATGGTCTATGAGTCTTATTGATACACTTGAAGGAACACACAAAGCAGTAAAAGCTCCTCTCTGTGAGTCCGTCGCTGGTTCGTCGAGCAGACGAGGAAACACAATCTTCCCCGCTCATGTTTCACATTCGACCGTTGTTACCGGATTCAGTGACAGGCAGCAGAGAGAGGAACTAACACCGGCAACAGACACTTTCTCTGTGGCTTTTAGTAGCCTCTTCCATTTGCATTACACAGATACCATACATAAAGTTATCCACTAACTAATGAGACCCAGTAAAGCCAGCACCTTTTATTTAAAATGTTCTTTCTCAAAGTCATGCCCATCCCTACCTGCTCATGTGAGATCAAGATTAGCCTTTGGTGTTGTTGTTTATGTTGTTAGCATATGATATGTACACTCAACGCCATGTTATAAGTTACATCTGCACATTAAACTGTAAAGACCACTTTTTTCTTCCGAAGTGCTTCTGATATCCAGCCTCCTTTCTGACAAAGTCACGGAAAACTGAACCATCAGTGGTGTACTCAACATACCCCACAGTGTGTACCTAATAAAGTGACCACTGTTCATAATTATATGTTCATACAACAGTTGATATATATGAGGAATAGAGCAGATTCAACATATATCATTCTGCCTTTAAGAGCTAGTAGGTATAGCACGTATAAAGTTGTTTTTAGTGTGCGTGGGTAACAGCGTTTATGGAACAAAGTTAAGAATTGGACGTTGAAAAAGAGGCAGAGAGAGCTTTGAATATATTTGTCAGTGTTTCTCCTGTGGCGGCAAAATAAATGCATTTGGATATTAACTATTGGTTATTGTTGGCGTGGGTTTGTGCTATGTGGGGGTGTGTGTTTACGTCACCGGGTAATGTAGGGTATTTTAACTCTGAGCACAGGATTAGCTGAAAAGAGTCCAGGAAGCTTATTTACAAGTTAACAGCGTTTAA